GGTGTCCGCAGCGGGATTTACACTACAGGTCTCCCGCCCTTTAACGCCTTGTTTGGAGTTTCGCCGAGGGCGGGTGCAGCCTCATTTGGATGCGGTCTAATGCGTAACGTCCTTAAGTAGGCAGGTTCACCCGGGAACCCGCAAGGCGTTTGTCTCCCACACGCTCCACGTTGTCTCCTTCTCCCTGGCTGGATTCTGCGATCTCTCCCGTCCCACCAGTCCAGCCTTTTTCTCACCGCTTCTTCCAACTCAGGCTCACAGAGGAGCTGGAGCCCATCCCAGCAAGCAACGGGCGCAAGGCAGGGTACATCCCGGGCAGGACGCCAGTCCATCACAGCAGGGCACACACAGACTCACACCAGGGCCTGTTTTCCCAGAAGCCAATGAACCTACCAGCCATGTCTCTGGACTGTGGGGGAAAACCCACACAAACGCAAGGAGGGCATGCACAATCCACACAGACAGCACCTCAGGAATTGGACTCTGGGCCCCAGAGCTGCCAGGCAGCAATGCTCACCACTGTGCCAGCACGCTGCCCTGATCCCCCTTGTGTTTTCTGAAATATTACTCAGTGCCCCACCCTGGCTGCTGAGCCTACTGTGAGTGAGAAAGTCAGTAGCGTTGCTCAGTGTTCACGCAGACGAGCTGGATGGACTTGTAATGTAATTCCTGTGCACTGTCTGCATTGAAGAAGAAAGTGGGAGCCGTTCAGCTGCCGGCTGTGTGAGTCTGACCCTCAGTTTAACTTCTACTCCAGGTTTTCATGACAGGCAGATTCCTCAAGCGCAGGAAGGCTCCAGGAGCTTGCAGTCCTCGGTCTTGCGGGTTGGGAGCCCTGCTCCCAGTTATTGCACAGAGGCTGAGAAGACAACCAGCAACCTCTAACAATCCACCATTGCACAACCTAGCCCAAGCGTCCTGGGCTGGAATTACAGGACGTCGTAGGTCTTAAATATGGACTCCCTTTCGCTCCAATCGAAACTTGGAAGTCAATGTGATAAGAGGCTTTGTGCACCACCCTTAAATCATAGGGATTACGTAAGGGCAAAGATAAGGGAAAGCACTGTGTCTGCATTTCCAGTCACTGTGGCAAAGGAGAGCTGAGCAGCCCCAGCTATGATCATGTCCCCTCACCTGGTCCTGGAGAGCTCCAGTGAAACAGCTTTCAGAGGTGAATTTAATCATCTGTTTCAAGAAACCAAATCATTAATTGAGCTCAAGGACAGGCAGTTCGGTAATTGATCATAATAAATAAAATTCAGTAATAATTAAAAAAAATCAAGCTGGTTTCATAGCTGTCACGGATGTCTGAAAACGGGACGAACCGTGGAGAGGCAGGAGAGCGGAAAAAGACCCAGATCCGTAGCGGAGGAACGGGAAAAAGGCCCGGGCTCGTTAGTGCAAAGAGTTCAGGAATGCCGTATAGAAACCTATGCCCTCAGGTAGCGGACGTGGGGCAACCTGGTGCTAGGCGGGTCTCAGGACATCCGAACATCAATGCTGAGATGCAAGACCCGGAAATATATAGTCCCAGAGTGCGAGAAACACCGGAAGGACAGCAAATAACCGGAAATGAGAGACAGGACCGAGAAGGAGCGCCCTCTGGCTACAGAAGGCGTGACAATAGCTGAGGTTATCTACAATTTCCTCCCACCGGTTCTTAGAGGTACCTCAGAGTTTGTGCCTCAGTCACCTGGCTGGCAAGCTTGTCCCAGGCACCTACCACTCTTGGAGTAAAGACAGGTTTCCTAGTCTCTGTCCTAAATGAATCCCACTTCATTTTCCAACCGTAACCCTGCGTGTTTGCGGAACAGTCTCCTGGGACTGTTCGTCCCCAGCATAACCAACCTGTATCCAGCCAAAAAATAGAATTTCCCATTCAGTTCACTGTAAACGCTGGGGAGCACAGTTTCCATCCCGTATCCCTAAAACCTGCAAGCATCGCTTGATGGCACAACCCCCCTCTGAGACCCCCGGATCTGGGCGGGCGCTCGGACACAAGCAGGGGCTGTCTTTCTCTCCTCTCTTCACAAGGTGCGGCTGGGCCCTGGGACTGTGTCTCTTGTGCCTTTCGTTGCAGCTGTTTCTGCAGCAGTGTGGAGTGTGGAGGGTGGGGGGAGTTATGTGGGGGGTATGTGAGAGTCACATGCAAGGGCTCTGCAGAGGAGCCTGGGTCCTGTTTCCCAGCAGCAAACAGACAGCGACGGGGTGGCGTGTCTGCGCGCGGGAGGGAGGGGTGTCAAGGCCAAAAAAAGCAACTGGATTCCTCCATGTGTGAGAGATATGATTAGCTGTGACTCAGGACTGCCGGGCGCACTGAGCACTTCTCCTCAAAGGTTAGCAGACTCCCACGAAGCTCCCGGCCCACTGGTCACCCTCACCGCGGCTCACCAGAGACCCCCCTTTCTGCCCGGCTCTTCTGCACAAGCAACACAGCAGGTCGGCTCGGGGCTCCTACACGGCAGGACGAGATGGGCAAAGAGGTGAGTGGGCAGCTGGCCACCTTCTTTTCGGGAACGTAGTTTTAATCCGCCGCGACGCCCACGTGTTTCTCGCGGGCTCGGGGATAACCACTTTCGGAGTGGGGGGGGGAGGACGTGGGAAATTGATTGGAGAAGCGTCGACGCTCAGGAGGCTGTGAAATGCACCCACTGGGGGAGAAACAGTTGGTTTGTGAAGCGGGGCTTTACAGGCAGTTGAAGAGGGGGAGAGGCAAAATTCGAGCTGTGTAGCTTTTGCCACTTCAGGGCGGCTGCGGAATTTCACCTCAGAAAAGGGGAGATCTAATTTTGCCCTCGAAGGCGAAAAGGCTTTAAAAGTTTCCCCGTAGTTCTTCAACTTGACATTTTAGTCC